TCTGGAAAGACCTGTCTCAAAAACCAACACCAAAACAAACAACAAGGGGCCAGGGAGATGGCTCAATGGAATAAGCGCTTCCCTGGCAAGCGCAAGGGCCTGAATTCAATCCCTGGTTCTGAAAAGAATAAAAAAAAAAAAAAAAAAAAGCAAAAAGCAAAACACAGTTCAGTAACATTAATAATATTCTGCTGTGTAATTATGTTCATTGTTCTTTATCAGCCTTGGTGCAAACGTAGAGTGACAGAATTGATTTTATCCAGATTGGTGTACAACTGAAAGAAAATGGACAAACACGTAGGGCCCGGGGAACAGCAGCTGAAAGGAGAAACCATGCAGGCTGAATAGGTGAGAATGAATAAAGGAGGAGGAGTGGTCTAGAGCCTCGAGGTGGAAGAATAACAGGTATGACAGCAGCAGTGAAGGAGGGTAGAGGCTGGAAGCAGGATGTTGCAGTCAGAGTGCTGTGTTGTCTGGGATACTTACTCCTCACCGGTCACAGTGCTGGACACTCACTGCTTGAGGAGAGGTTTATTCTGGCTCCCTCGTATTCTGGTCCGTGGTCTGCTGTCTCCAAGATGGGATATCATAGCACAGCAGCGTAGGGGAGGAAAAGCTACCCACATCACTGCAACCAGAAAACAGAGAGCTAGGGACAGGCTGGGGAGGATGCTGCACCCTCCCAGGTCACGCCCTGTCGCAGACATTGTACATAGCTGTAGCACCCAAGATTTAGTACATTAAAACACAGCACAGCAGATCTGAGGGAGATGTTGACATGTAAAGCATAACAGAGGCTGAAATTAATCATTTCAGAGCTGGAGTTTGTTGCCCAAGGCCAGCTCCAAGGGTGTGGCCACCCTTGTGAGCCAATGGCTAAAGGGGCAATGCCTGAGGCCACAGGGCAAGGGGCAGATCCTTCAGTTGAGTGTGCACCTGTAGGGCAGTGGTGAAGCCGTGTAAGTCAGGTGCTGAGGTCGCTGAGCACGTCCAGAAGTGAGTGGAGGATGATGAATATGGTATGGATGGGCGCAGGGTGCCCTGCCTAGTCACCTGGAAGCTCCCTGGAATAGCAGTTTCTGGGGCAATAGAGAGGAACAGCAGTAGTGGGGCATGAGGTCCCATTGGAGGGCAGGTGGCCTCTGATTTTGACTGGGTAGGGGACAGCAGCTTTCTCTGTAGAGGGCGTGGGAGCCTTTGGGCCCTCAGATGCATGCTGCAGAGATGTGGAAGGAAAACAGTACAGAGTGTTCTGGGGAAGAAGGCTCATTACTAGAACAAAGATGGATATAGAGGGAGCTTACTTTTTTTTTTTTTTGGGCGGAACTGGGGATTGAACTCAGGCCCTTACGCTTGCCAGGGAAGCACCTATTCCACTGAGCTATCTCCCCAGCCCCCGATCTCTCAGTTCTGAGATTATAGCTATAAATCACCATACCCAGGCTTGAGACAAGATCTTGCTAACTTGTCCAGGCCGCCTTGAACTTTCTGTGTTGCCCAGGCTGGCCTAAAACTCATGGCGATCTTCCTGCTTCCTGAGGACAGGGATTACAGCAGTGTGCCACCAGGCCTGACAGTATGGAAACCTGTTTGTTTGTTTTTTGGTACCAGGAATCAAACTTAGGACCTTGCCCTTGCCAGGCAGGTGTTGTGCTACTGAGCTATATCCCCAGAATCTTCACTTTTAAAAACAAATAATTCAGTTAATTCTGATATAAGTTATCCAATAATCATGCTTGAGAATCCAAGGACCATTTAGTTAATGAATTCTTTTGGACAACGGCCACAACACACTCACTTGTGTATTGTAAGAGCCAATTACATAGCTGGTGCTGACTGAATAGTTTTCTTTTTTTTTTTTTTTGTGGAACCAGGGATTGAACTCGGGCCCTTGCACTTGCCAGGGAAATGCTTATTCTACTGAGCTATCTCCCCAGCCCCTGAATAGTTTTCTAGGGAAAGCCCTCTGCATGTAATTTTGAGGTGAGGCTCAGGTTGTGGCAGACGATTAAGAGACCTTTTAAGATGATGTAAAAAGTAGTGAAAGACAGTCCTGCTGGGGCATGCTTTGTGGAAAAGGGATGTTTGGTGGTGAGATGCTTTTGGGAAAGGCTGTCTCTGCCTCTCAAGCTGCATCAGTGTGCTGATACTTTGTCGATGTCCCGCAGCAGTGACCAGATGCTGGAGTCCCTAATGCTTAATATGTCTTAAGGGACCAGCCCCTGTCCAGTTTCCCCTTCTCCTGTCCCACAGAGTTTATCTTCTGTGAGATTCTTTGCTCCTATAAGCAACCAAAGAGATAGAGACTTAGACCTAAATGGATGATACCAAGTGAGAACTAAAGAGAGAAAAGCATTGGAGAATGTTAGGGGAAATGTGTTTTTCTGTGGGAGGCTCTAAGTTTTTATTTTGTATAATTTGTCTTTTTTTTTTTTTCTTTTTTCTTTTTGTATCAGAGATCAAACTCAGGACTTGTGCTTACCAGACAGGGGTTTTTGCCACTGACCCAGTTACTCTAAATTGTCATGATCAGTTATAAGTATTAAATGGCTTTGTAGTATAGGCTGTTGAGAAAAATTTGAGAAGAAATGTATGGATTTAAGAAATGGCTATCGAAATCTAAAAGAAGAGATGTTAATTAAAAGATAGCAGATGAAAGATTATAGGATCTGGTTACTAAATCTGGCAAACACAATTGGGTTTTTTTTTTTTTTTTAAATGTATTTAGTACAAGGTCTACAGAATCTCACTACACAGATCAGACTTGTAGTGATCCTCCTGTCTTCAGCCTCACTGGGATTGCAGGCCTGCGCCACCACGCCCAGTCTCAGCATGCCCCGGGGGCGGGGCCTGCACAACACACTGGGGATTGAACCCCGTCCCTGTGTTTTACTCTGCTGAACTATCTGGCCAGCCCTGACAATTAGGAAATTTTTATTCAAGGTCAAATTGGGTTGTATACTTTCTAGACTCATGTTCAGGCCAGAAGGTGATAAAAACCCACTGTAGTACTGACATTGGAGAAGATATATAGTAGAAGGGAGTAGTTCTTTACTTTGCACTTTATATCGCCACTGCCTTATTTATAGTGCTGGGGATTAAACTAAGGGCCTTCACACTCAGCTACATTTTTAGCCTTTCTTAATCTCCAAGTTGCCTGGGCTGGGTTCAAGTTTGTCATGTTCTTGCCTCAGTTACCCTGAGTGCTGGGATTATATAAGTGTGTACTATCATGCCTGGCTATGTTCGTTCTCTCTCTCTCTCTCTCTTTCTCTCTCTCTGTTTGTCTGTCTGTCTGTCTGTCTGTTGGGTTTGTTTGTTTTTGTTTTTGACCCAGGGTCTCACTCTGTAATTCAGGCTGGCTTCAAATTTGTAATCCTCCTGCCTCTGTCCTGAGTCCTGGGATTATAGGCCAGTGCTGCTGTGCCTGGCCTTATATTTTCTCTTAGTTGAATAAAATTTATTATATTAAGTTTACCTTCTGAAAAGACTCCATGTGGAAACCATTAACTTTTATTAAATTCAGAAGCAAAGTAAAATCATGGCCTAGAAACATTAGACTCTTGAAAAGAAAGATTTAATTCTAAGTGGGTGGGGCTCAAAAAGAAAGTGTGTAACCTATACTAATTCAATTGGTTTCAGAATTTGTTTTTCAGAAACTTTACTGACATAGCAAGACACATTATTTTATTAAACATTTAATTTAGATGATGGAAAACTTTTTTTACACTACACCATAACATGAAGCAGGTCAAGAGAATCATAGAATATTTATACTTTTCATGTAAAGTAGAAACCCTAATTTTCTTAATTATACTAGTCAGAGTACTTAAAACAATTATCAAGAAAGCTTTTTTACAAGATTATTTTAAGTTTTATTTGTTTTCTTTTTTAATGTATTTAGTACAGGGTTTACAGGGTCTCAATATATAGATCACACTTGCAGGGATTCTCCTGTTTTCAGCCTGCCAAGCTCTGGGGTTACAGGCATGCACCACCACGCCCAGTCTTAATCCCAGTCTCAGCGCACCCCGGGGGCGGGGCCAGCATGACATGCCTGGGATCAAACCCGGCCACTGCACTATGCCCAAGCAGGTGCTTTAGTCCTCTGAGCTGTCTGGCTGACCCTTCTATTTATTTATTTTTTATGAGCAGAATATATTTATTGAGGGAAAGAAGCCTCCTGTCCGAGAGAGAGACATGAGGGGGGCCCTGAGAGGGTGGTACCCTCTATTTATTTTTATTTATTTATTTGGTACAGAGTCTCACTATGAAGCTCAGACTCACAGTGATCTTCCTGTCTCAGCCTCCCCAGCACTGGGATTATAAGTGTGAGGTACCTGAGGGATTGAACTCAGGTCCTTGTGCTTGCCAGGCAGGCACTTAGACTGCTGAGCTATCTCCCATCCCTTAAGTTTTATTTGTGAGCCAGGAATTCTCTGTGTAGCTCAGGCTGACCTTGAACTTACAACTTCCCAAGTGCTAGGATTACAAGTATGTACCACCATACCTGGGTGGGTTTTTTTGTTTCTTGGGGTTTTTTTTTTTTTTTTCTCGATACGGGAGATTGAACCCAGGACTCTGCATTTGCCAGGCAAACGCTTATTCTACTGCGCTATCTCCCCGGGCCCTGGTTGTTTTAAACTATAAAATAAGTTTTGTTAATTTTTGTTTTGTTTGCGGAACCGGGGATTGAACTCAGGCCCTTGTGCTTGTCAGGGAAGCGCTTATTCCACTGAGCCATCTCCTGGTCCCAAAGATAAGTATATTCTTATAAAGTATTTTGTAGTGTTCTACTGGTAGTGCACATATCCAGAGAACAGAGAGTACCTCAAGTCTTGAGAGTTTGGACCCTGCCTGCTACTGAACCAGTTTCTTGAAAAAATAAGGACAGTGACTGTAAGAAATGACCATCAGAAAGCTAGGTACGAGCAGTGTTCACTCCTTCCAGCTAATTCAGATGGGGTTTTAATTCTTCCTCCTGTTTGTTGTCTTTTCAGACAAACAGCCATGGCAACACTTGACTCCCAGCAGGATGGAAGTGTGCTGGGCACTGTGATGGGGAGCAGATCTGCTCATTTGCAGACTCGGACTGCACAAACTCCAGTCCCTGCTGTAGCTCAGGTAGGCCCAGGCAGGCATGGAGGACAGCTTGTGTACCCAGAAGTGAGAGTTATGTGCTGTTTCCTTGAGGGGATGTTAAATCCCCATGCCCTCTAGTTGCCAGCCATTCCACTGATTTGTTTTTGGGGGGACTTCTTTTTCAGGCACTGGAAATTGAACTCATGACCTTGCACTTGTCAGACAGGCTCTGTGCCCCTGAGCTATAACCCCAGCTGTCCTCTGATCTTTTTATTTATTTATGTATTTTTGTCTTTTTGAGACAGGGTCTTGCTGTGCAGCTGAGGCTGACCTTGAGCTCACTTTGTAGTCCAGGCTCATCTCAAACTCAAAATGATCCTCCTGCCTCAGCCTCCCAAGTGCTGGGTTTACAGGCATGGGACACCACACTTAGCTCCCTGATTTGCTTTTGAAGATGCACATTTTTATCACATTTGCATGGCAACAGACACGTGTCAGTGCCCCATTCCACTGCCACCACAGCAGGGAGGAACAGAGACACCCACCACCACCATGTCTTAGCTCAGGAGTGCTCTGAGTGGTTTCCAGTTCCAAATTGACATGGTTCTATTATTCTTAGCTATCAACACAACCAAAACCATAACTGTCTATTTTTACTTGGCTTGCCCTTTTTCTTTTCAGTTGGCTCTTCAAATTTGAATTGCTTTCCTTTGGAGACTCTCAGCATTGGTTAGTTCCCAGTTTCAGGCTCTAAAATTAATTTCTGACCTATTTGTAATAATATGGAGTGGCCAGGGAGATAGCTCAGTAAAATAAGCGCTTGCCTGGCAAGCACAAGGGCCTGAGTTCAATCCCCGGTTCTGCCAAGAAAAAAAAAAAAAAAAAGGTGGGGGACTACCTGCTAGGGCCCCCCTCCTGTCCTTCTTTTGGACAGGAACTTTCTTTCCCTCAATAAATATATTCTGCTCATAACCTCAAAAAAAAAAAAAAATAGAGAGTGAAAGAAAACATTTGTGTATTCATTAGCGTCTCGCATCCTTTCTGAATGCCTCCTGTGTCTCAGCACTGAGTGCACAGGGCTTTGTAGCTGACCTTGAGGACCTCATTGTGTAAGTGGGCAGCAGATATTCTAAGGAAGGTTGGGTAACACGAGGAGTGCTGAGCAATGCCCTGTGCCAGTGAGTAGAAGGGAGCAGCCGGCTTCCAAGGTCCTCCACAGGGAGGATTTTTTCCTCTGAGCCTTGACTTCCATGGCCAGGCAGCAGGGAGCCTGCTCTAGATAGAAGGAAGCATGGACAGAGTCCTCATGTGTGATGACACCAAGTGCCAGTGGAGCCGTGTCTGCGCTGGGCAGTGTCCCTGGCAAAGGGGAGCAGAGCCATAGGCATTTGTTCACTTTATCATTTTTAGTGATACAGACAGCCCACTGCTGTCTTCAAGGTGCTGGATTCTCATTGATATAGGGGAAAGAAACTCCCAAACTTGGGGCTGGGGAAATAGCTCAGTTGAATAAGTGCTTGCCTGGCAAGTGCAAGGGCCTGAGTTCAATCTCCAGCTCTGCAAAAAACAAAAAAAATCCCAACCTGAAAGATACTCGAGATGAATATGTGTTCTCTAAAACTGAAGAATTAATTTTAGGAACAAGAGAGGTTAAGAGCAAAATATACTTAGTGGGGGAAAGAAAGCTCCTGGGGGACTGGAGCAGGTTGTCCAGGAAACTACCATTTCTAGGAATTTTTATAGAGCAAAACCATGAGGAGGTGAGGCGGGTCTAAGGTGGAAAAAGTGGGAACTTGCACTTTTTTGAGGTGGGACTAAACTGTGGTCAACTGATAAGGTTACAAGTACTATTGCTCAGGTAAAATTGACTAAATCCAGGACTAAATGGGAAAGCGAGTCACGTAGCAAGCAGGCATGAATATAGAACAGGGGCCTATCCGATAGCAGTTGGATTAGTGACTCTTCCTGGCTTCAAGGTGCTGATCAATCCCGGATGCTTATCTTAAGGGAGGGAAACATTTGTGTTTATCTTTGGCCTTGAGTACTGGCTCACAGAGGCAGCATCCATCTCACAGAGTTGTTAGGTGTCTTGTCTTCTTTGCTGTCTTCTGTAAGGGCCTAGCACTGCCTATAATTTCTAACTCAGCCGTCTACAAGCATATTTACTGAGAGAAAGAAAGCATCTGAGAGAGGGACAGAAGAGGAACTGAGTGGGTTGCCAATGAACCTGCCTTTTCTAGGGATTTTTATAGAGCAAATCCATGAGGTGAGGTAAATCCAAGGTGGGAAACATGGAACTTGCTAGGTGAGCATGAGATGGGATGAAACTGTGGTCAACCAATAACTTTACATAATTGTTTAGGTAAAACTGATTGAATCAGGATCAAATGGGGGAAGCAAGTCATGGAGCAAGCAGGCATGAATATAGAACAGTCTTCTCCTGTAGGGAGTTAGGTTAGTGGCTCTCCCTGGCTTTTTCAAGGTGGTTGCTACCTATTTAGAATATCAGTCCCTGAGGTCCATCCCTAGGGAGGTATGTGGGTGCACTTATTTAATCTTTTGTCTTGAGGCTAGCTGTCTCTCCACTGGCAAGGTATCCCATCTTTTGCATTGGCCCCTTGGAGGCCACAGCCCCATCTCACTGCCCATATTTCTATCTAACTCAGCTGCCTACAACATTATTGTCCTTGAAGTTGCTCCCATCTTGCTGTGTTTGGAGAAGGGATAGCTGTGTGGGGGTGGCTGTGTGCAGCGTGCAGTGGAGGTGGGCCTGGAGCCAGCCTGGGGGAGGCTGCCTGGAGGGACAGGGACAGGCCTTGGTTTGTCCAAGCCCAGACGGTTCCGTGAGTTATCTTCTTCCCAAGACGGGGCTCCTGCTCTCCTTCCCAGCTGTCCACAACCTCCTTGTAGCTCTAGGAGCTTCCCTAAGGTTGTGGGGAGCGGCATCTCCCTAGCAGCACTCTGCTATGCAGATTTTGCCTCAACAAATACATAAAAACACTATTCTTGGGGCGGGGAATATGTTTTGTAGAAAATTAACAAGGCAAATATTAAAAAGAACATAAAAACTGCCTATCATTTTTAGCATGCAGAGCTTCATATTTTAACATTTGGATGTGAATCCTTTCATCTTTTTGTGTGAGACTAGAACAGAAAAGAACAGAGAACATTTTTTTCATGAACTTGGACCCTCCTGAGTTTCTACGATTCCCAGTGCTTCACTAAATTGTAGTTGAAAGCAGACTTCCATCCCTGTCCTTTACACACTGGCTCACAGCTAACACTTGGGCACTCCTGGACCTCTGGCCACACAGCCAGGCCAGCAGTTTCAGTCTTACCTCAGCCTCCCTAGTGCTGGGACTACTGGCACCTGCCACCATGCCCAGCTTGCCTGAATTATTTCATGTGCTAATTAATTGATTTTTTTGTGGTACTAAAGATTGAACAAGGACCTCACACATGCTAGGAGGCAAGTGTTTTGCCACTGAGCTATATCTTTAACCCTATTTATTTTTTTGCGGAACCAGGGATTGAACTGAGGCCCTTGTGCTTGCCAGGCAAGCACTTATTCTACTGAGCTATCTCCCCAGCCCCAACCCTATTTATTTTTGAAACAGGATCTTATAATCTAGTTCAGGCTAGCCTTGGACTGACTGTTGCCCAGGCTATCTACAAACCTTCCAAATCCTACTGTCTCAGCCTCCCAAATGTTGGGATTTCGGGCATGTAGTACCATGTCCAGTTGAAACTTTTGAGAAAAGGCTGACAGGTTTGCCAAGCTGTCCTCAAACTTGGATACCTCCTGCCCCATTCTTGCAAGTAGCTAGGATTACAGGTATGTGCCACTGTGCTTGGCTTATGTGTCAACTTATTTTTAAATGGAGCTGATATCATATCTCTGAAAGATATGTTTTGCCACTACTAAGATTCCACCCAACCCTAGCAAAATGCTTGATAACAATTTAGAGTTTGTCTGGGCTTAGTAGCATGCACCTGTAATCCCAGCTCTTCGGAAGCTGTAAATAGGCGGACCACTACGATCTAGTAGAGAGATCCTGAACACCCTGTAGGCCCTTCCCTAAAATACAAAAAAAAACAAAGGAACAAAAAAACCCAAAAAACAATTTAGAGTCTGTTTGATTTTTTACTTCCTTTTTTTTGCTATGCTGAGGCTTAGACCAAGAACCTGCAACCTGTGAGGCACATATTGTACCACTGAGCCAAATGTCCAGCCTAACAGAGGGTCTATTTTAAAAAACAAGCCATGAGGAAACTTTCCAAAAACCAAAATAATGTAAAATAAAAATAGTTTGTACTAGTCATTTTAAAGCAGTTATCCTTACATCCTCCAGAAATAACATTATATTTAAGTGGGTAAGTAATCAGAACTCAAAACTTTTCTTCTTGTGCAACATTTCAAAGAGTAGGATAAGGGCTGGCCAGAGAGCTCAGCAGATTAAAGCACCTGCAAGCAGGAACAGGGGCCTGCTGTGCCATCCCCACCCCGGGGCACAATGAGGTGGTAATTGAGACTGGGCGTGGTGGCACGTGTCTGTAATCCCAGTTCTTAGGAGGCTGTAAACAGGAGAATCATTATGAGTCTGATCTAGAAGTGAGACCCTGAACACCCTGCAGACCCTTCCCTAAAATACAAAATCAAACAATCAATCAGTCAAAAAAAAAAAGAGTAGAATAGTTATCCCACACATATAAACTTATTGTCAAGATTTTGTAGCATTTGCCTCATTTTTTCTTCTTTTTGGTGAAATATTTTGAGTAGCTCTGCAGATCTTCAACATTGTGTCATTTTACTCCTACTTGCTTCTGGTGATGTAGCTCTTCTGGATATTTTTTATGAAATCAAATGTCATTATCATACCTCATGAAATCAACTATGGGTCCTTGTATAATATGCAGTCGCTATTCAGGTTTACTTACTTGTCTCACAGGTATGGGACCCACCCTGAGGGCAGTGAAGACACATTTGAACTTTCTTTTTCTAGGTCTTTGGGAGTGAAATCGTGCTGTGGTCCAAATCTGGG